TGATGAGAGGTGTAGGGGGAGGGGTTAAGATGAATTTGAAGAGGGAGGGAGGTGGATACGATGAGAGGCATAAGGGAGAAAGAGGGATTGATGATGAGGGAGAAAAGGTGAGATGATGAGATGGAGGCACATGGCTGCCAACTCATCAAATTTCTTAGTCCCATTTACTTCACTTAATGTCCGTTAGCCTCTATTTAACAATACGACATTAGGTAATATGTTTTTAAAAGTTTAAAGGGTCAATTAGATCAAACAAGAGTATAGGATATTGGATGCTCCTAAATGTATAAATTGTGTTGTGTGGCTATAATTCAATTTTGGACTTTAATTGTGCATGGTTGATAATTGGAGTTATATATGGTATTTTGGATAATTGTGTCATGGTCAAGCAGTTCACCGTAAACCCATGGCTTTACTTTGTGAGTTGTTATGTAACATGTCTCATAAATTGTTATTTGGGTCCTAAATGGGTTTTAAGAATTTAGTTCCTACTTGAATGCAATGTGTGTTAAACCAGAGCCAATATTTATCTTGGATGTATATTTGGGTGACCCTTAAATCACTATGTTTGGATATTTGTGGGAAACAATGTAACGTTTTAGACTAAAATGTCACTGGGAACTTTGATTTCATGTTGTCTATATTTTATTACAATAATTGGATTTTCAAATTCTTATTTTGGAAATGGGTCCCATTAGGTGAATTTTAATGATTTAGAAAACTTCTATTTAGCAAGGTAGGATTTATTTCCTAAGTTTAACTCTTTATACTGTGTTAGATATTTTTTTATCATGGTAGTTGATTTTGAAATTTATTTGTTTAATGAAGAAGAATCCTTTTCTACCATTGTAAATGTTTAGAAAGTTATTTTGATTCTTAATTACTATGAAAGACTTTTTTCTACCATAGTAGGGTTTTAAAATTAATATATCATTTTTTTCTATCATGATAAATGTAACATCCTAACTTTCCCAATTAGTAATTATCAATGCTTTCAAGGGTAATTTGGTCAATTTAGGTAAATTATTGATTTAGCAAGGTTTATGGGAAATTAATATAATTTTTGAATCCTTGGACAGTCTTAGAAGAGGGTTAAGGCTATATTTGAGCAGGCCATGGCATGGAAGAGAGTTTAAAATTTTGTAGGACTTTCTATACCATGCGCCATGGTGGGTGTGTCAATGTGCCACGGCGCACGTGCAAAATTTGTACTTATCAAATCACGAATCAAAGTCAAAAAATAGAAGAGAGAAAGAAAGAACTCGAGAGTAACGATAAAGAGAGACTTATGGCTGCTAGGGCTTGCTTCTAACGTGATTTTGGAGGCCTTTCAAGCTTCATATGCATTGGGTAAGCTTTCCTTTCTTCTTCCTCTCCCTCATTATGCAAAAATCTGGACATTTGGGGCAATGGGGGCTTTGATTTCGATTCCCTTAGGTTTAGACCAAACCCATTGATTTATTTAAGGTCTTGGGGAGTTAAATCAAGTCTCTAACCCTAAGTTTATGAGTTTTGTGGTGATTAAAAATTTTTTAGGGTTTGGACGAACCCTAGATATAATTTGAAGATTTTGAGACAATGTGGGATATTGATTAGTGATTTTGGTGTGTTGAGATGTTTAATAGGATGGTTAGAGTGTTTAAGAATAGTTGATGTTGTTAGAAAAGGAATTTAGGTATTTTAGACACTTAAAACCTAGTAAATTCGGAGTTATCTGAAGTGATAATTGATTATTGTCACTTGATTGTATAGATTGAGCATTGCTCGAGCTATATCATGCATATAGAATGTGTGAAGCTAATATTGAACCACGGTAACCCTTTTGTGTGACAAATGGTTAAGGTAACAGAATGATTTATACTATTCAATTATGCTGCTTAACTGTATGTGAGTATATATGTTAAATCTATTACTTGAGATTTGATAACCTTGCATATTGCGAAGTGTGATTTTGTACATAAAAAAAATCTATTTGCAAGTGATGAGGATGATGAAAGTTATATATGAATGGGTTAAGAAATTTGAAATGTATATGTGATATATATGTTGAGTGTGGGCATGATCATGTTAGGGGGTGAGAGTTCACCCCGTAGGAAGGAGTAGTGGAAGTCCATATAGCATGTATCTCCTTAATGTCTAGTGAGGTATGGTGTTGGAGATTTTCTCCTTAATATCCATGCAAGATACGGCGTTGGAGAGTAATGCTCCTTAGCATCAATGATGTGGTGTTAGAGTAATGACACCCCGATTCATGTGCAATAGGGGGAAACCATAGTCCAAAAGTGAGATAAGACACCTTTGGCCGAGTCATCCTACTACTGAAGGTGAGCTCGGATCATTGTGAATGTGCACTTAGTCCAAAAGCCTATGGTTTCGGTCGGGGTGATATGCAGGCTCAGATGGTAGAACAATCATGCTAGTGGTAAAAGATTTGTACTGATGAAAATAGTATGTGGTGATATGCTAAAAGAATATTTTAAAGTTTTATAGTTTTACTCTCTTATAGTTGTGCACGTTAATTAATAATAGTGAATTATTCTATTACTGAGATGTTTATCTCATCCCGTGGTTGTATTTTATAAGTGAGGGCTCTGGTAAGGGCAAGGGAAAGAAAGGGGAATTTGAAGAGTGAAGAGTATAGTTGTATAACTCTTCCCTTTTCTCTTTTTAGGTATTGTAATGAATATTGTCAATATATAATGCCAACTTAGGAACATGACATTGTTGTGATTATCCTTTGATATGAATTTGCGATAAGGGTGTGTGTATCTTAGCCTAAGGTTGATGTTGTGGATTGTGTATGTTTTTGTGTGTGTGTGTGTGTGTGCTTGGCCATGTTACACTTACATGTGATATATTTAAAGAGATGGATGTACCAAAATGACCAAGTTGATATGTGTGTTAGATTTTATTCACCACTTTATGTTGTGAATTGGGGTTTTAATGTTATTTTGAGTGTGAATGCTTAATTGTGTATTATGATTGAATTGTCATGTTGTGTGTGGTCCATTTAAGGTGGTTAAAGTGTCTCTAGGGCTAATGGCAATTAGCATTGTGAGTTGAATACCTTTGTGTGTGTTTTGATGTGAAAACAAACCATTTTGAGTTTGGGTATCTATCTTTTAAACAAATGATTGTTTGAGTGTGAAATCGATGCCATTAGCTAGAGGGCTCAAAGAGTTTCATGTGAATACTTGAATCTCCCAAATCAGATGTCGGATGGCGAAACGGCACAATCTGAAAGTTTAGAGGGCTGACATGACAGCAATCTGCTATTATGACAATAGGTGCGTGCCACGGCGCGTGGTTATTGTGCTACGGTGCAAGGGGCTTTCGAGGGACTCGTCCTTGTATGCCATCCGTCACAGCGGGCGTGGCTTATGCCATGGCAGACAGACTAGAATTGTTGAAAAGTGGCTTGTTTTAGCCTAATTTGACGTGATTTAATTTTCATGCTTCCGTATTTGTTCTGAATTGATTTTTAACCATGGTTTAAGCTCAAACAATATTTTAAAAAGGGTTTTCTTGAGATCCTAATGTTTTAAACTAATTATCTTTTAAACCCTTGGGTTGTGATAACTTCTTTATAAGATTTTATTTGATCCTAATTATCACAATGGCATGTATGAGTGTTGTCCTGATAATGTTGAGGCGGACATTACCATTGTAAGGCTTTGAAAATAAAAATTTCTTTAATTTTTTTTACATGGTAAAAATTGTTCTACCATGGCAAGTGTTTAAAAGTTATTAGAGGAAATAAAATGATTTGAAAAAGTAGAGTGTTACCAGATTCAAAAGTGAAGTCATAGAAATTAACAAGTATCGCAAACCATAATAACAAGTAACTATACTAAATTAACATGCACCCTTATAGAATGACTTATTGTATACTTTTTAACAAGTGGACTTTGGGTGATTTACAAGACAATTTAACAAACAAGTTATAGTTTAATTGGGACAAGAAGCTTAAGTTTTTTTTTTTTTTAGTTGGGTAAAAGAACAAGTTCTTTTATGAAAATAACAGATAGCATTAGTGTATTGATAATCGAATAGTTGATGAATGAAAATTATCAAAATTATTTGTTAAGTTATATATTGTAAACTATAAGTTCATCATAGAAAATAAACAAGTGAAATTAAAAATGACATATAAGTGTAGCTAGTGATAAGCTTGATAATAACTTTAGTATTAATCTTTGTAAAGTTGACAAAATGGTGGAGAAGAAAGAATGACAAAGGTACCATTCTAAGCTTGGAATGTAAATTGACAACAAAGCTTCTTTGTATTGAAAATGTATCTATGTTCACATTAACTATTTGACAAGTTTAGTTGAATATTTATCAAGTATTGATATAGTTAGTTACCAAGTATGGGTTAACATATTATTGACAAATATAGGTTAAATATTCACATGTTATGGATTACATAAGTGTTGTCAGGGATTTAACAAGTAAGGTTATTTTTTAAACAAATAACATAATTGATTTTACAAGTGGTATAATAAATTTAACACAAGTTAAATAATTAACAAGCAACATAATAAGGTTGCTAAGTAATGTATGAAAATTAAAAATAATGTAATGTTTTTAACAAGTACAAGTTAACATAATGGTGTAACAAGTTAAAGATTTATTCAGGGCCTAATAAATTCATAAATAATATAAGGAATTCAACAAGTCATACTACACATTTAACAAGTCAAGTAGTGATTCACATTCTCTTTTTTCATTTCTATTAAGGGTACATTGATCATTTAACCAAGGAAATTTATTTCATTTTAGTCTTCTCCTATCTTGCAATGAAATTTCATATTTGATTGAGCCTTATTTGTAATACTATTACATCCATGGTCCTATAATGAAATTCTCCCCATATTGTAAAAGGAATTTGTTCATTACTGAATAATCTCCAGGGAATAAAATATAAATAATCTGAAGAAATAAATAAATTATTGAATAATAAAGGGGAAAAGAGTGAGATAATAAGTGCACCGTGCGACTTCAAAAACAAGCAATTTTTCTACATCTAAATCAAATTTGGGTGGTACATCAATTCTATATTCTGCAGTACAAAGTTACATTCAAGTATATTGTGCATTCTTGCTGTTCGACTTGTCACTTCAAATTAAACTAGTTGTCTAATTATAGTTTTCTTTACACTTGGTGGATTGGTATGCAGCTATTCTATATTTTCTGTTGACTAGATAGACTATGAAAAGAAAATTAAGTGTTCTCTTCAGCTAAGGGTTTAGTTCTAGATGATGACGACCCAGAAGCTGAAGAATTTGTTGCTGATGAACTATACTTTCTAAACACCCTATCTTTGTTTGTATTCCACCATTCTTCTGCTTGTTGTGCATCAAACCTTCGCTTACTGTATTCAGAATATAACAACAAATAAGAAACATCAAAATCAACAATATAAAATATAAAACATGAAATCAGCAGCGCGATTTACAAATCATGAATAATGTGCCTCATTCTTCACGCAAGCACTTTTGTGGATTTTGAATTCGAATTCAATCAATTAAATTTTGAAATTTAGAATATATAATTATTAATTCAAAATTCAATAAAAATTCAATATAAGTTCAATATTCAATATATAGAAATAATTATAAATAATAGAAACAATCTTATTTAATATATTTTCTTAAAATGAAATTTATTAAAATAAAAATAATGATATACATTTTGAATATACAATAACACAAACACGGAAAAAAATTCTTTTTAAATCTACATTTTCAAAGTGATTCAATTTAGAAACGAATAATTAAAAAGAAAAAAGAAAAATCACATTCTACCCAATATAATATGCACTTGGCCAGGCATTGAGACATATATATACTACAAATTCAATGAAATGGAACAACATATGGAATAAGGATTGGAAATGTGGAATAGATTGGGGAAATAAGTTAACCATATACCTGAATCTAACTCGTTTGAAAACCTTTATACCACTTGGCCATACCACTAGCGTCACATAAACACCAGGTTCAAATTGTTCGATGACCTGTGATTCTTTCTCTCTCCCTAGTTTCATTGAGTCTGGTGATTGTGAATCATTTTCTGAGCTTTGTGGAGGAGTTGCTACCTCTATACTAGATATAGATGATCTATTGCTTTCTTGAAGAGAATTTCCTGGATCATGAGATGGTTCAGCTCCAGTAGAATCTACAGTTTCTTCAACTTCATGTTCTTGCGATTTGGAACCATCAATACCTGAAACTGATGTATCACGTCCAATTTCTTGATTAGGCTCCAAGCTTGGAAGTACGGAAGATGATGCTTCAGATTCTGTATTTTCCCTTAGAAAATCTTCAGCTTGAGCATGGATATTTCTCAAGGTCTCACTGTCTAGACTCTCTGGTGGCAAATTCTGCGTCACATCCTTCAACTGGAAATACCAAACACAATAGCACTTCAGAATATGTGGAAATATCCAATGCAAAGATTTGTATTTATTAGGATAAAACAAGTTACGATATTATTATTATTATTATTATTATTATTATTATTATTATTATTTATTGAATCCCATGTATTTGTCCAGGTCCTATTTCCTAGGCTTTAATTTCGGTAACCCAGTGTATGTTTCTCCCTCTTTGTTTCAATAAGAATACGATAGAATTTTCCTCGATTCTCCACACAAGAATGTTAACCCAACGAGCAACGTGGGAGAAAATTTAATTTTTACAAAGGAAAAAAAAAAAGTTTATAAACTTGTTTTAACCAGGATGACAATAACTATCCAAATTAGCATTGGATTAATGTTTCTGCTGACAGTTATTTACATGTGTGTGTGTCCATATAATGTTCTTATTGATTAACATTGACAGCCATATTTCAAACATTGCCCAAGAATGAAAGTTCCACTTCAATAAAATATGTCATGCATTCATTTGTTGTTATTTATGATTCCTTTACATCTTGCCAATATGTTTCATTTCTCATTTTCTTATAATTATACATGCACAAAAATAATTATAGAATGTGATGCCAATTGTGATTGAATCAAATAATAGACTGGAACACCCAGTATGGTCTAGAATTTAAGTTTTGTAAATTGGGAAAAAATATGTTGAAAAAGTTTTCTCATTTGGAGTCTAACATGACTGAAATCTGGCTAGTACTGAATACCAAGTATTTCTCACAAGGTGGGGAAGAAAGTTGTATAGAAGACAAATTTTCTTGCCATCCCCATGTGACTATCTAAGGCTTTTCAATGTTACCATATCACTGGCCTTAGTATTTGTTTCCTCTCCTGCTAAGAGCTGGCCTTTCTAAATATTGAGAAATACAAATTGCCATTTACATTTTTGCACATCAACTAAACCTAGCTTAACGAGCCAAGAAACACAGATTGTTTAAAGATATTTTCTATCATTAAATATTCCATTATTCTTGGTTTCACCGAATTTTATATGAAAAAATTACGGATGAACGCAGAACACAACTCTTGTGCCATTAAGCAATCAAAGGAATTAAAAATATTTATTAATGCAACAAGTTATCATTATCCTCAATTATAATAATTGTTTGTAACTTCTTTATTATTATCAATATTTGATTCACGGTATTGTTTTCCTCATAAATAAACCAAAATCTAATAATTTAAATATATTGATTTCCAAAACGGATGCACATCCTCCATTCTTTAATATGTTACCTGAATTAAGTGCAAAGGCAGGTTGGTGTTGAGTTGTAGCATTGATGGAAGCTAGGTTTCTTCATGGCAGTGGTAAAATCTGAAATTGTTGTTATTGTTGGGCACTTAGTCGCACTTTAAGAGGTAAGTTTGAGCTCGTTTATGAATCAATGAAGATTTTAATCGGTGGAAATTACAGTTTTGTGATGTTTGGCCCAAACTTCGGGCAGTACAAGAAGGAATTTCATTTTTGGGTGTTACAGCCTTCCACTCAAGAACCCTTGATCAAATTTGGAAATAATTATTCGGCAGTACAAAGGGAGGGTTTGAAAATTCCTTCTGGGTGGTTTGAGTTTCTTGTTTGTTGGTTTAGTTTTGTTATTTCTTTGTTTTGTTGTTGTATTCTTTGAGCCATTATGGTTTATATAGTTTATCATGTTTATACTTCAAAAAGAAAAAGGGAGGGTTTCAACTCCAACCAATCTAAAAGAGTAGTGTGTGACTAAAACAGTGAATCCAAAAATTAAAAAGAAAATGCTTAACAAAAGGGAGAATGACGATTAAGTGCATCTCAAGGGAATTTATGTAATAAAAGCCTATGAATTTTGCATTGGATATTGTTTTTTGAAAATACAAATTTATTGTTGTTAAAAACTGAATTTTAATTTGTTAAATTTCTAAGGAAATCCTAACAAAAAATACAAATTAAGATTAAGCTTTTAACAATGACATATCCATGTTTTCATAAGACAATATTCAATACAAAAATTATGGACTTTTATTGCAATAAATTCTCTAGAAATGACCTTAAATGTTATTTTTCCTAGACAAAAAATCCACGTAGAGTGAAAATCAAAAGAGAAAATGTATTCCCTCAAAAATATAGTAGGCTATTAGCCAAATTTAACTAAATAGAAAATATGCTTCTTTACCAATACATGTTCAGGGGAACTTAATGGAATAAAAAAAAAGGACTAGAGGAATAATTATCTATTTTCAAAAATGCCTTACTCTTCTTGTGCAAAAATGATTTGACATTTCTATGAGTATCTATAAGAATTTTTTAATAATATTCAATAAAAATTTAATGTACAAAAGATAAATTGGATTATGTTGTGAATACAAATTAAATAAAGGTACCTGATCTTTCATGGTCTTAATAAATTCCCTAGCTAGACTCTGCTTAGAAGATTCCTCTCCAGTCAACAAGGTTGCTTTCTCAACATTTTTCTTTAGCTTCTGAATCTCCATATCTTGCACGTCGTTCTTCTGTTTCAAACTTCGAACCTATATGCAAGAAAACGAATATTCATAGTAGTAGTCAATAGTACATGTTATATTCCTCGAATAATAAACTAGCATCCGCTACTGTGTATAAAACCTACTTTATTTTGTAATTTTGAGATTTCTTGGTTCAGAAGCTCATTTGATTTCCTCAAATTTTCGATAAGGGTTCTAGAAAATCCAGGGGTGGGAGAACGTGGTGGACTTGGTCTTCTTGTATATGGCGATGCAGGTCTTGAATTGGCCGGTGGAGTTCGTGGTGGACTTAAAGTTACAGAAGCAGGCTTGAATGCATTATGAATGGGCTTCAATGAATTTGGAAATGCAACATCTTTGAATTGTGAAATTGATTGTGGATTTCGAGCAAGGGAAGAAAAATCGTGTTTAGATTCGGGCTTATTGCCCCATATCTCAAGGAATTTTACTGGCTCAGTGATAGAAGACATGAGAACTCTTGAAGACCTTGTTTCTCCCCGGTCTAATCTTTCCCTCTCATCTATGGATTGACGAGGAGGAGTAGGTTTTCTACTAGAAGTGGAAGCACTACCAGTCTCAGTAGCTTTAAGCTTGCTATAACAAGCATCACACACACGATGTGGTTTTCCTGGTGTGGGAGCCAATGCTGCTCTCAATGCCTTCTTAGAACTACAAGCATGGCAATGCACCAACCCACAATTATAACAATTATGCCTTTTTCTAGTAAAACCAAATGCTTGCCGACAACCGGAGCAAATAGATTGATCAGATCCAGAAACCCATTTATGGATGCATATGCAAGATGTAAAATTTGAGCCACATGAGATATTTTTTACATGCCTATCTTTTAAACCTTCAACCAGTGTTGGAGATTTTCGGTCTTCTGTGTCCCCATGCCCCAATCTTCCATTCGCTCCCCTCCCCCAAGTATATAGTTCGCTTCTTGATGTCAAGACAGCAACATGATGCGCTCCACATGATATTTCCTCAACAAATTCACCAACCAACTTATCTTGAACCTTTGCAGGTGTTTTTCCATCAGACAAAGGATTTCCTAACTGACCATACGCAGTGCTGCCCATAGTAAATACAAGACCTGATGTATCTAGGGCAACAGTCAAAGTGTACCCGCAAGCTATCTGGTGGAAATTATAATCAATTAGTGCAGAGACACAAGTTGGTTGAAGGTATGTTTCCTTGTTTCCATGACCCAAACGATACTTGTCACCATCACCCCAAGTGAAGAGCTTCCTGGATGAAATATTAGAACCTTGATGACCCATAACCTCTACAATGGCTGCAGTGTGCCATACTCCACAAGCAACCTTAATAGTCTTCAATCCGCTCAATGATTGTACCTCCCTTGGATATGACACACTCATCCGATCTCCATGGCCCAAGACACCAAATGTTCCATCTCCAAAGGTAAACAATTTCCCATTAGAGGTTGCTAATGCAGAATGCCATGTACCGCAAGAAATGTGTAAAACTTGAAGCCCTTCTAAAGGGCCAGTGACCCTCTTTGGTATCCAGTGACTAACATCACTGCCATGACCAAGAAGCCCAGCATTATAAGCACCATCTCCCCAGGTGAATAGATCACCAGACGTAGAAATAGCACACGTATGATACTCCCCACATGCAATAAATTCAACATTTTGAACAGAGAGGAACTCAATAAGATGAGGGTGGCAGAAGTCTTTATCAATCCCATGACCAAGTCTTCCCCCGGATTCCTCACCCCAAGAAAAAACCTCTCCCTGCCTTGTAACTAGAGCAATGTGACGCACACCAGATGCAATTTGTTGAACATCAAGAACAACATTTGACTCCAATGGCCGAGGAACCAGCACATCTGTCATCAAAGCAACTTGACTTCCCAATGTATCAGGTGAAGGCCCATCAATCCAAACATCTCCCCATATATAAACATCACCTAATGACTCTATGTCGTCTGGTCCTGATCCTCCACTTGAACAACTAGGTGTGCTTGACACACTAACACGGAAGCCATCTGAAGCACTTGTCCTTAGTTGCATATTTGAACGTTCTGATGTCACATCTGAGGTTGCCCAATACAATGGAGAATCACGAGATCCTGAATCTGTGGAATCCCTGCCACGTGCAATGCTTGAAGTAAACTCTAATGTTGCACCAAAAGGACGGTTAATTGGGAAAAAGTCGACACCATCCTGTAGCTGAAATTAAAGGCACTACCTAATTAAAAGTCTTTGAAGTACAGATAAAAAGAACATTCAATATATCCAATAATAATAATAATAATAATAATAATAATAATAATAATAATAATACGGTTTAGATTTCCACCTACCAAACCCAACCTTAGCAGTGTAATGTTGAGTTAATGGGAACATAGGAACTTACGAAATTGCTCGGTACACAAGAAGTTAAGGATTAAATGATCATTTAAAAGATGTCTAATCAAACTCACATCATATAAGTTACTTTTAGATCGTAGGGTGTGTTGTCCTGGAGAAATTAATGCTTTAAGGCCTCCAAACCATATCTCTGCCTCAGCTTTGTCCTTGCAAATCTATAAAAATGCAAAAGAGAGGAACTAAATTTAGATTTTCCATCATAATGATTTATTTGTCAAGCATGAGTAGTTACTAAATTTTCTAACCAGATCAAGTGTTCGTTCCCCGTTTTTATAAACAAGTGAAAATGATAGATAATCCTTTTCTGGGCGCAAATGCCTTCTAAAGACAGCCTGAAAGAGATAGTTATATATTTTAACAAAAAGTTTGGACATTCTTCAAATTGTATATAGAATCTTGCTATTCTGATATAATTCAAGTAAGTAAAATGATAGATACATTTCTACAAATAAGCAGAAGTAGGTTGCAGTGCAAATACAGAATGTAATTTAGGCAAAACAAACCCATGACAGCAGAAAAAAATGCAAGATATTGTACAATAGGATCTAGCATTTGAGAGGCTGGATTCCATTCCTGACTTTCACCAAGTTGCTCATCTAACTCCCTATCTCTGGCTGCTAAAGTCCCTAGGAATACCCTTCTCTTTATGACAGCATACCACCTAATAATCATTGTGTCAGATTTTGGTATCCCCACTTGCAAGTTGCAATTCGTTTTTTACCATTCTATAACGTAGATCATGTCTTGCACATTTTTACTACCCCTCAGTTTCTCCTTTTACAGATTCTAGTTTTTCCAGACTAGGCGCATCATTACATTAACAGGACTGTTAGAAAATTAGATTACTAACTTACAGTTCTTTGTCCGGGAATGATACGTGAAACAGAAGACAATTTCAGATTTTTTTCCCGTCCATGAGAAATCCAAATCAATGTTGTAGCATCCTGTTAAAGTCACTATTAAAACATTCACGTAAAGTTTATTAAAATATACACACACACACTCTAGACTTAGGGAGATATATATATATATATATATATGTATATATGAACCTTCGTTGCTGGAAGATATGTCAATGTCTAAGTAAGGACTTACGGATGAGAGTCTGAAGGGACGAAATTTTGGCTTCCCTTTTCGATTATACTTAAGTAATTGGGAGCCTTTTTTTAAAGCTACAAGTGCCTGAAAATGAAAATTCAATTTTTAGCATAAGAAGCCCCTACATAATCTGACATTTTGCAAAATATAGTAACTTCACTAAATAGCTATTGTTTTCAAGGAGGGGGAAAATTCAGCAGGAAACACCATCCAGTGAAGTTTCTTATATTTCTCAATAATTTTTCCAGCAACTCTAGAAATTGAATGAATACGATCCAACTGAAAAATAATGAGAAGGGCCAAGCATGAAGCCAATTTTGGAAAGGGTAACTTTTTCGCTCGTCTTTTTGCTTCTTATGCACATAAGCTCAATATAGCATTAAAGCATATAATCATTATGCCCCACATAGAATATAAGCAATCGATGCTAAGTAACATAAAATGATTCAAGTCTTATATATAACCTATATATAAACCTAACCACATTAGTATCATCACTACTTTCTTTCACTTCTGGCCAAAGTACTCAAATAGAATAATTTTTCTGCTCTCAATAGTAATCAATAGTATCATAACTATGATTTTGTATACATGAAATAGTTCAAGATAAGGAAATAAACCAAATCGCATAAGGACATCGTCATTTTTAATACAACTGCTAGGAAATAAAAAATATAAGTAGTACCAATAGCCACTATTACCATTATACAAATGGTGTTTTTATTTTTTACATTGATGAATGATTAAAAGAAACGCACAATTATTATGATTATCTTTGATATAATAGGTTTATAGATAAAGGCACGGTCGTAAAATTGAATCCTCATTTGAAGAAAATAATCAATAATGAGTCTTTTCCCACAACAAACTCTGTGCATTATCTAGCCCGTGGAAAATCAAGATTTCCATAATTTCCAACAACTAAATCCAATAATCTAAGATAATCAGGATAACAAAAATGAAGAGGACGAAAATTTGATGGATACTCACTTGCTCAATATCACGATCAGAATTCCCATAGCTAGCAAGATCTGCCATTCCATCTGAAAAAACGGTAAGCAAATCGCCGAAGACGAAGCTCAAGCGGCAACTGCATCAGGTGGTGCGGCGGCGGCGACTTCCGTGCCCCAGTCTTCATAGATGCGTGTGCTTTCGACTTCGGCCTCTCATCAAATTCTCCAACGGCTCAGAAGAAAAATTACTCAGATGAAGAAATTTCATGAGATTCCCAAAGAAATGTAAGAATTTACCTTAAATTTTGCATTGGAGTTATTGAAAATTTGCATCAAGTATATGGAGTCTCAGTTTCTGAGCAAAAAAGCATATTAAGCAAATAAGAGAATGGGAAAAACTTGCAGAAGAACAAGACAGAAAGGAGAGAAAGTGTAGGCGAAATGAAAGGGAGGTAAACGGTCTCACATGTTTAGGGAAGTTTGCAGCTTCAAAGAAATTGACTCAGCTATTGGCGCGCTTCTCATATAGCGTCAACAACTACCAACTAACTCAACGTCTTCGCCACGCGCCAATTAATAGGTTATCTGTATGCCTTAGTATCCTATATTAATAAATCAGATAATTTTATTTTTAAGTTATTTTTTAAAGAGTAAAAATTTTTTTTGTTAAACAATCATTAATTTTTTTTTATTTTTTGCTGATATGACATATATGTGGAGCTTACATACAATAACAAATAAGATTCTAACCATATTTTTTATACTAATTTGTTTTTAAACTCTCATTTTAGAAGTGCTTGGCACTCTAAAATTTTTTTTTAAGAACCATGAATAGCTTGAAGTATTGTTAAAATAAAATTTAATAAATATTTTTAAAATATCAAATATTTTAATATTTAATAATTTTAAATATTATTATTTATAAATATTCATCAAAAATTTATAAATCATTTTTTGAATATTAATAGCTAAAACTAGTTTTTCAAAAATTTATAGGTGACTTATAATATTTTATATATTAATTATATTTTTAATATTGATTAAATTCTTTAAATTTTTTAGGTCATTCTTTATAATTTTTTTAATCAACTAACCGTTTTCTTCCAAAGTATTACACTACTCAGTTTAATATTTTAATATTTTTGATATTTTATAATTTTATATAAAAAAACAAAGGTAATAAGCCTCCAAATTAGCATAGAGATTTTTTCCCTCATTTCTGCATTATTCTCTTGTTAAGTAATTTTTTTATACTATATTAATGGGACATGCAATATTTTTCAAATAAGTATTTTTGTTAGCATATTATTGGTCATGATCTATCATATTTTTGATTTTATCCCTAATATTGTAATGTACAAAGAGTATTAAATTTGGATGATGCAATATTCTGGAGGAAGATCATTAATTAACAAAAGAAATTATAAAGAACGACATAAATACTTAAAGATCTTAATCAATATTATAAATATGAGTAAGTTTCGACCCGCACGAAAGGTGCAAAAATATGGGCACTATCTCAAAGAAAGACTCGAAAATTGATATATAAAAAATAATAAGTAATCTATAAATTTATGAAAACATTAGTTTGAGCTATTAATATTCAAAAATAATAATTTATAAATTTAGGATGAATATTTATAAATAATAATATTTAAATTATTGAATATTAATATATTTAATATTTTAGTAATATTTATTAAATTTTATTTTAACAAAACTTTATAATACCAAGCGCTCCTAAAAAAAGATTTTAATGTATCCAATACTTTTGAAAAAAGAGTTTAGGAGGAAATTAATAATAAAAAACATGGTTAGAGTCTGTGTGGGCCCAACGTACATGCCAAATCAGCAAAAAATGTCAAAATTAATGGCCGACTAATAGAAGAAAATTTTTGCTCTTCGAAAAAAAGTTCAAAAGAAAAATTGTCATAATTATCATTGCAAAGTGCCTAACGCACATAAAAAAAAGCACCTTAATCCATTATTAAATTATAAAGGGTTAATGAGCAAAATAAACCCTGAATTCATGCTAGAAAAGCATCTTAGATCCTGAACTTTTAAAATGTGCAAAATAAACTCTAAATTTTTAAATTCGTAGCAAATTAAATTCTATCGTTATCTTTTTGTTAATTCCATTATTGTTCACTATTACCATTCACCATAGGCCCTAGTTAATTAGAGCTACAGACCCTAGACTATTACACGAGTAGCGTCCTAAACCCTGAACTTTGAAATTTTAAGCAAATTATCCTCACAATTTATGTACAGAACATTAATTATTATGCAGACTAAATTAGCCTCAACATAGTTTGCCGTGGTGAATGCATCATTGGCCATGGCGAACGACCCATAATTTTGTGAAATAACTTTTTGTGTCATTTTTTTGTAATATTTTTCAAATGATTGATATCTCATGCTCCCATATACTCTCCATAACTCTGATTTAATCTTATTTTGCATCATGTTTATTTATTTAATGGTGAAAACTTGGGATCCTATTTGAAAAGAATTTTAAGTATTATAGGATTTTATACACGATGGATGGAAAAACAGATGATTTATCAATGAATTTAAAACCCAAAGTAACTTATTCATTTTAATCATTAACCCAATTATAAATTCTTATTGCCGACCCCATTAAATTTTAAATTTTGATCAAATAATTTTGTTGTCAGCAAATATATTAATTTGCATTGCGTAGCTACTAAAAATTCAACTAGTTATTGAATTGGTATAAAATATTGTTTTAAGGATTAATAGTAGTCGAACTCTAGTTCCCACGAATGAGCTAGCTTAGATTTTCATACTATGATAGATAACTAGCTTAACACGTTGGTCAATCTTTTATCTTATAATGTACTGATTTTTTTTAGCTCAACCTCCCTATGTATTGCAAGGGGCGCCTTGAAATCATCGACAAATCATTAAACGCAAAAGTCATGCACGCACTTCTCGACCAAAAAAAAATTCATGCACTTCGTCCTGAGAGGGTGAAAAAACTAACACCATAACTGAAAAAAATGAATTTATCAAAGTAGACGATTCATTCAAAAACAAACAAAAACAAAAAAAGAAAACAAACCTGAAACCTCAAATTGAAAACTTTGAACATACAATTTATTACATGATGGGGGGGAATGACAATTAAGTCCCAAAGGGATTGATTAAATCAAGTAAGGTCCCAAGTAATTCTAAAAGGCCAATGAAGTTCCCAAGTCCTTAAGTAGTATTTTGATATAATGAGAAAAGACTGAAACACCCTTATTCAATTAATGAGTTTGGTTGGTGAAATTTTGAGGTTGCTCGTTCTTTTTTTTGCCTTAAGCGATCACTTGCAATTTAGTAGTGGAAAGCTATTCATCTCTTCTTTGTCCACACCACTAGCAATATACACAGGCGATCAAGTGAAGGAGGCTCTTTTTTGTCTTCTCTCTGCCATAATTAGTCTATAAGTTCGGCTAGACATTGCAAGCTGGTGCTTCTCATCTTTATTGTTTGTTAGAGATCATCTAGAGGTAAGTCTTCTTCCACCCTAAGTCTTCTTCACCCCTTCATTTTGTGTACTATTCCCCCGGACTATATTGCCTTTTTTGTCCATTTTGCCCGCATAATTTTTGGTTCCTTTTGCTTTGTTGTTTGTAACATCTTATTTTTCTAATCCTGTAATTAGCTATTAATTTAGGGTGGATTAGTGATTAGTAAAGGATTAGAGATTTGGATGATTACTTGATAATTTATGTCTATGGGATGTTGAATGAATAGATAAGGGTAGAAGAACCGCGTTTCGGGGTAAAGCATGTGTGTGCGATGAGAATTCTCCTCAATATGCAATGTGCTGCGACTGATGCTACCTGCACCGCAACACATGTACCAGAAAATGACTTTAAAAGTCATGGATCAGCTAGTAAGGGCAAAGAAGAAAGAAGAGAAAACATGAAAGAGAGAGGAGAATAAGGCCTTGACTGTTAGGGCAAGCATTTTAAGAGTATTCGAAGGCATATCCGACTAGTAACTTATTGGATAAGCTTTGTACGACCCTTACCTTCAGTTCTAATGTAATTCCTCTTAGTATGAGTTATAAAGAAATTAAATCAGGGAAATTTAAGGGGCTTGTTTCTTACCCTATAGTAATAAGGAAGGTTATCGAGAGTATTGTGACTGGTTTAAAGTTGAACGATAGAGCTTTGAACCTGTAAGCTTGATTTAGCCCTAAATTGAAGAGGAAAAGAAGTGAACAATTGAGTAGAGCGAAATGGGATCATTATAAGTGATGTATAGTGGCAATTGAATTGTAGTAAACTTAGGTTAGTTAAGTGGAAAGAATAGACGGCTAAATGTAGCCATAAGTAGCAATTAAGTATTTTTAGTCAATTGAACCGATTGACTAATTGAGCCAATTGTGTGTAAATTGGCATAATTCTCGTGTAGAATGAGAAGAGGACTTGGTAGAAATGAGTAGCGATTGAAAAAGTACCATAAGTAACCTTTCTTGTGACAGAAGAATTGAGATAACCAAATACCTTCCTTTGTTTGATTATCTATTATAACTGCTTAAAAGTATGAGTATTACTACATGAAATGGTTTAAGAATAAGGATGTTTGCTAACTAAACATTTGTGCATGACATTGATTTGTAAAGAATTGAGATTATGATTTTGAATATTTTGTGATTAAATATATATATATATACATGTATATGGCTGTATATAGTATAAACATGTGGTGATTATAAAAAAGCATGATCATAGTGATGGGAGTTCACCCATGTCAAGAGTAGAGAAATACCATATGGTATTATTCTTCTTAGTGCCCGACAGGGTGTGGTGTTGGAGAATTATATCTCCTTAGTGCCTTTTGAGGTACGGTGTTGGAGATTTTTTCCTTAGTACCTATTGAGATGCAATGTTAGAGATTCAGACTCCTTAGTATCAATGTGATGTGGCATTGGAGTCGACAATCAATAATACCTCATTGTGTGTATTGGGGAAAACCATAGTCCGAAAGTGAGATAAATACCTTTGGCGGAGTGATTCTACCACTGAAGGTGAGCTTAGAACTAATGAGAGTGTATATTAGTCTAAGGTGAGCCTATTGTTTCAAGTTAGGGTGATTTGGAGGTTCAGTTGATAGTGATCATGCTATATACTATAAAAGTGGTGAAATAAGTGGTAAAATGGGTGAAATGAATTATATAGATGAAATTTGAAGTGAATATATGATATATGCTATGTGCAATTGTATATTATACTATACTTGCTTATGGTTGCATGTGATAGTTGAAAGTATAAAGTTATTCTATTACTGAGATTATTATCTCACCTTGTGGTTATATTTTTACAGGATAGAGCAGTAAGTCGAGCAAGAAAAAAGAGTCAAGACCGGCTTAGAGTTGTTAAAGCCATGTGATTGTAGAGTTTGTGTAATGAACTTGAACCTTGTTGATATTGTGTATATAAGTTGTTATAAGAATTGCATGCATTTGAAAGTTATGATTTGTGGAGAATTGTAGTGATTTTTGTA